CCCCCGCGCCGCCGCCACCAATGGCCTGCGCAGCTGGCGATGGCCCCGCCTCCTACTCCTGGTTGCCGGCGCAGACTGGCTGCTCCCCTCCAGCGCGGCGGCGAATCAGGAGAGCGACCTTCTCTTTCCTCGCCCCCCCAAGGACCCCTCGGAGGTGTCCGCGTGAAACAAGCCGTTACAGGCAAGTCGCCATGACGGCTAACAGCAAAACCCGAAGCCGCGGAGCGCGCGATGAACGCCACTACCTGCGGTGCGAGGGACATTTTAAGGAACGGCGCTCCGACATGACAGTTTTTAGATTATTTTTGTTTTGATCAGGCTTCGCTGCGGGTTGCCCCACAGAGCCCAGCGCTAATTGGTGCCGGCGCAGGCCCCCAGCGGAAGGAATCGTGGCGGAGTGGGCGGGGGAACGCCGTTTCCTAGCGGGTGGGGCGGGGAGCGCGGGGGCTGCTGGGAGTTGTAGTTTCGGGCGGGAGGCCGGCGTTGTCGGCTGCCCCGTGCGGGTCCTCGGCGGCCATTTTGCAGACGGCCTGAGGGGGCCCGTGAGGAGCGGTTGAGCCTACGCTTCCCCCGCTGGCAGCCGGATGGCGGCTCGGCCCGTGTTTTAGGCGCAAGGGGTGCCAGAGAGGCGCTTAAGGTGTTTGGTGCATGGTTATTCATTGTAGGAGCACGGGCCGAGCCAAGTTTGCCTGTCAGTCAGCAGGGCACATCCTGAGGCCCCCATGGGGTGAGCTTTCCAGGGAGCCGTGCCAGCCTGGCCAAGCCGTGGTGGTCCAGTGTCCCTCCCCAGCCCCGAAGCTGCCTGCACAGACCTTCCCTGTTTCCCTCCCTGGTGCTGCTTTGGCTCTGGTGGATGGGGTCAGGGGAGCACTTCTAGGAGGTGCTCAGAGGAATACAGGCTAGGCAGTTGGAAGTGTGCTCTCAGCATCTGTAGGTGCCCGCTCCTGATGTGGGACAGAAGAGGGGCGCTTTCCCAGGTACTGGCACATTTGGGTTGACCGGTAGAAAAACACAACAGCTAAAACAATAGGGATTTTGTAGATAGCCAGGTCTAAATATGCCCATTTAAAACATGGCATTGTTAGGTTAGCTTTACACTGAGCTATAGCAGCCAAGAGAACCATCCCTGCAGCTTACTCTTGCCAGAGAAAAAACTCAGAGTTGGGGTTCTTGCTGCCACAGCGTGATCAGAGCTGCAGTGAGTAGCTCTACCTGTGCTACTCTCCTGATCCATAGGGTGTTACATTACAACAGCCCTGAAAGACACAGGTGGATTAGTCACGATCACACTGCGCTGGAAACATCCACATGTCAGGACTCTGAACACGGAAGGACAGCTTTGCTCGGAGGGAGGCACGAGAGGGTGTGACTCACAGCAATCCTTGCAGGAGCAGGGCCCTCCCAGGCCACAGCTGCTGTTTTTCCCAAAAGAGGCGCAGCCCCAGCTCCTCAGACCAGCTCTTATGGCTCTCTGGGAAGGCTCTCAAACAGGAGACGGGGGCCTGCGGGGCTCAACTTTGTGCTACCAAGCTGCAGGGTGGCATGACTGGAGTCAGCCAGTTGCAGGTAAATGTTCCCAGCCAGCAGTGGAAACCTTTGTATAGTCTTTGTGTCTGTTCTGTTCCTGATTTTTTTAGACTGTAATTTTGTGCTTTCATTGACACTTGGCATCCCCAGCCCTTCCGAAAGCTCCATGTGCCACAGACAGCAGACAGGCCTGCATGCCAACACATTGAGGAGAAGGGAAAAGGGAGAAATTCCAGCTTTGTGCCCCATCTCCACACAGGCTGGGGTTTAAACCCATGGGGCCAGCAAACCATGGGCTGTCCTGTGACAGAAACAGCCTGTCCTGCAGTGCCTGAGGAGGGGGGTGTCACAGGAGGATCCTGGGACAATCCCTCCTGTGTCTCTTTGGAAAATGGCAGGATAACAGCACAAAGGGCAGTGAGTCAGGGTGCAAAGCAGCACCCTCTGCCCCATACCTTGCAGCTTAGGCACAAGCCTGGCTTGGAGCTGCTGGATGAGGCTGTGACTCATTAGGTTGAAAGGGAGAAAATTCCTGTGCAAGTCACTGGTAGGTTTTGGAAGAAGCCTGTGGCATGGCAGAGGAGAAGTGGGTTCACTAAACCACAGTATGGATTATACTGAGATGAAAGTGGCCAGGAGGGCTGCTCTGACAGTGAGTGGCTGTGCTTTGTGTCCCCATTGCGAGTGCCTGCCGCAGAGCCCGCTGGCTGCTCTCCCAGCGGGTCAATGGTGAGCCTGCCTGCCCCAGTACTGCTCAACAAACTGGTCAGGTTCTGTCACCCCAGGAGTGAGGATGACACAGGAGCAGCCCAACCGGTTACTGAAGTGAGGCAAGTCTTGAAAAACGATGAGGAGTCAGCCAGCACCTTTGCCATGAGTGTTTCTTCAGCCTTTTGCTGCTCTAGAGCTAAGACATGGCACAGTGACAGAATGGATCCATGGCTGTGTGGGTGTCTGACTGTCCTCAGGAGGGTTATGAGCAAAGACTCTGTGCAGAGGGCCTGGCTGTGCCTCCGGGGACCCACAGCAGGGCCGTGCAGGGCCATGCCCAGAGCAGCACAGGTGCAGAAAGCCTGTGTGTCCAGGGGCGTGCCTCCGCACTGGCCAGGGGATCTGCCTCAGCGGTGGGAAATTCCCCAAGTCATGGGAGCAACAGCACACATTGCACCCACAGCTGTTTTAACCATGTCAGGGAATGCCCAAAATCTGCTGCCCGCCCCCCGCCAGGGCTGGAGGGTGACACAGAGAGGCAGGGCAACACGAACTTCAGCTGCAAGTGCCTCCCTCCCTGCCTCCTGCCAGGACATGACCCCCAGTGAAGCACACAGGACTAGTCTGCTTCATGGATGCTACAGCAGTTATGGCACCATTCCTTTGAGTGAGAGTGGTGTGTCGGCACAGGGAGATGCCGGGCAAGGCGTACACCTGCACACCCAGCGTCCTGCCGCCAACTGGAGGATCCATCCATGACCATCTCACCCAGCGAGCAGAGAGCACTTCCCCCTTCCACCAACACAGCCGCAGCCACAAACTCCGCATGTTGGGGATGACCAGGACCAGAGCAGTAGAGAAATCCACCCACAAAGCATTGGAGATTTAAACAACTGCTTAGTTGTCTGCTAGAAGAGCTGGCAAACATTTATTTACCCATTACTCAGTATTTCCAGCCAGAGCACTTGCCTTGGCTCTGGCAGGAGATGCTTTGCTTAGGGCCATGCCACAGCCTACAGTTGGGACCATCTCCATCGTCAGCCTCTGTTGTGCTCCCAGGACAGAAATTCCTCCAGCCTCTTCCCAAGAGCTTTTCCCCAAGCTGGGAGGGGGGC